TTTACGTGAATGGCCTACGCCATCCACGATTGCCCACCCTTATAGAGTGTGACTCTTGGATAAGGGGGGAGGGACTCGCTCGAGCAAAAACCGTTTTGGCTCTTGCTCATCACGTGTCGACGCAAACGTCGTCACGTATGATGCCGATGTCGATCAAGTCGACATCGATGAAGAAGATCATCTCAATAATAGCGAATACGCTATTATTGATTCGGATGATGATGACGATGCTGGTATATTCAGCATCGCCAACGATTATGCCAGCGAGGAAGAAGACAACCTCGCTGAAGAAGAGAGCAATCTCTTAGCAGTGCGCTTCGTGCGCACTGCTAGACAAAACAAAGAGTCAGCAGAGAACTTCCTGCTGACTCGAGAAGCGGTAGTCCGTTTCGTTCAGGACTCCATCGCAAATGCGGTGGACCGTCAGAAACGGAACGCAGACAAGAATGGAAGAGCAAATGTTCTTTCATTTAAGGTTAATGACCTAGTACTACTGTCAACGGTAAACCTAACCTGGACATGCAGTCACTAGTGTCGGCAGTAGTAAACTACTGCCGAAATACATTGGGCCATTTCGAGTGTTGCATCGCAAGGGCAATGCATACACACTCGAATTGCCACGTAGGATGCGCACGCATCCTACGTTTTACGTGGGGAGGCTTAGGTCGTACTGTCAGTACGAGCCTTCTTCTTCCGATGAAGATAGCCCCCACGTTCAAGAACATCCATCAAGTTCTTTCGTTCGCGCTCCAGACGATCCGTCTGGTCGCGCAGATATGATACCTCGGTATTCAACCGAGTTATCTCTCCGCGAGCTGTCGCCAGCTCGCCGAAAAGGAGCGGACATCCCGCTCGACCTGAAGCTGCGCCGTGGCATAATCGGCGCGATCCCTCGCCCGATCAGCCTCGTGACCCTTGCGGTTCTTCCGCACGGTGTCGGTCAAAGCGTAGCGCCGGTCGCGCTCGTGCTTCAAGTCATCGCGCAATTCATCGATTGCGCGATCCATCTCGTAAGGGTCGAGATGGTGGGCCTGGGGTTCTGGAGGAGGTCTTTCCTCCTCCACCACATCCTTTGGTGGATGCTCACGGTGATCAACGCTTCCTAGTGGAGCGTATCTTGAATCACCGTGACGATTCAGGATCAAGGACGAGCTACCTCGTCCAGTGGCGGGGGTATCCACCCTCTTGGAACAGCTGGGAGCCCCGCTCTCAGCTGTTGATGGATGTTGAAGGTCTCGTCCGCCAGTATGACGAGACCCATCCGATGAGTCCTGTGGCCCATCGGTAAACACGCGCCCTAGGCGCTTGTAGACGGATTGCAAGTTTGCAATCGCGTCACGCATCTCAGCCGAGATGTGTGCCCTTCCCCAGGGCGAATTTAGGGAGTACACATCCCTATGTGCACGATGCGAGTTGTCAACACAACTCGCACAAGGGTCTCCCCATGTGAGGCAAGGAATGCCTGCCTCACTAGATAAACAATGCAACCGGTACCTAGCACCGGTTGGCGTTCGCCGTTCGAACCTGAGGCGTGTTGCCTCAAGTTTCTTGAGCCACCCCTCTCGTCCAAAATTCTTGACGTTTTGGACGAACGCGTTCCACGCAGCCAAAAGCGATGTTTTGTCACGCTTTTGGTTGCTGTTGTACCATCGATGTCTAAGAAAGACATCGAGATAAAAGTCTTCTTCAGCGCGAAAGTTCTTCGCGCTGGAACTCAAGCCGTGAAGCTCGGTTGCATCGAATAAGGGTATTCGATGGTGTTGGCCTGTCTCGTGAGACAGGCTATTGATGAGTTGTTCGGGCAAACGCCACGGCTTCAACTCATCACGCTTCACAGTGGTACCCTTGTCGGTACCACGGCTCCCAGATTGACGACGGCTCGCGCCATCGTCATCACGCTCGTGCGAAGACGCACGAGCCGGCGGTGGTGAAGAATAGAACTCACCACCCTGATCATCGTCATCACTGCCGAACAGACTGTGATGCGAATCACGAGTCCGTTCGTTCGGCAGTGGCCTTGGCGAATACTGAGGCGTCGCCGGTGAGCGAGACGCCTCTGGAGCATTGCCCGAGTCAGACACGTCTGACTCGCCAGAGTAGATGACCTCCACATCGGGGTCATCGTGCGCACGCGGCGTGATACCGCGTGCACCTGCAGCACCTGTTGCTGCAGGCGAAGAAGGGGCGGCAGACGACGAAGCGTCTGCCGCAGAGGCTTGCACAGCACCAGGCTGTATGGGTCTTGAGTCACCTCGCATAGACATGTTAACTATGCGAGGTCAAGCGGAAAGTGAGTGGAACGGACCAAACAAGTGCTCCCTGTCCCAATGGTGGCCAACGGGTGGCCTCGATATTTCGATAGTCACACGGTGACTATCAGTTAAGGGGGGTGATGTAACGGGGCAGCCCGTTACATGATATTGTCACTTAAGGAAAGTGACAATAAAGAATATAAAGATGGATATTCTTTAAACAATATCACCAAAGTGGTGATATTGAAGGGTCGACCAGAAGGGTCTGTTCATTGGTTGATATCGTGATGATATCAACCCACCAATCGCCGCAAGACGCGCGCAATGAGTGGTGACGAGACGTCACCATACATGCAGTTATATTAGTATAATTGAATTAAGTCAAACGAAGAGACAGTAGTTTAAAGACTTAATTTATTAATATAACAGTTCTACTTTTACCCTACCTACGCTTCCTCGCTCGCCACGTGTACGTCCGTCGGGGCACCCAAATCCCTTGCGTTAAGTTACGCAAGGGTGTGCCCCGTTACATCAGAGCACGACAAAAGCGGCATCCTTCGTGATAAGCAATAAAAAGTGCTATTACAAACGCGACCTTAGAAAATTGGATACAAAACTGGCTGTCAGTCACTTAACCAAAGTCATTGTACAACGTAGAGATAGATACTCCAAGCCGCAGATGGAAAGCAAATGTACGGCTGCACTGGAGGCAAATGTTTAGCGATTCCTCATTCTATACCAGCCGACACGAACTTTGGTGACAAAGAAATCGATCCCGAGGGACTCATTCCAATAAACAGATCCACGACCATCGGGTGATCGGGTAGCTTCACGTTGAATGAGAGGTGTAGGGCATGATGTAAGTCGGACGGAAAGGTTGTGGATGCGGACGCACGTCTGCTCACAGAAAGTGCCAAGGCTTGTGTATACGCCGCGCGCATCCTCTTTGTGGGGTTAACCAGGTGCCCCCGACAGGCAGACTCTCTCAGGCGTTCTTTATGCAACTCCAGCTCTTGTCAGCTAGCAAATCGTACATGATGTTCCGCATGGGCGGGCAGTGAAAGACGTACTGAGACGAAGGGATTGACCTGTGCGCGAAGCAAAAGAAATGCTGCTATACTGACGTGTCCATCATCTGTACGATCAGCGGCTTGTACCAGCAGTGCGATGAGTACATTGGCGACTTGTGCACGTGTTTACACTCAGCGGACTCAAGCTCTGGCCAAAGCACGGGATGAGCTGCTGACGACGGCATGTCGCGTTGCGCTTGCAGTGGTTAGCCAGTAGTCGAAACTTCTCCGCATTCTCGGCCCCTTCTTCGCAGTCATGTCTTTTTCGCAGCATGAAGAGGATCCTGCGCAATATGAGCGCGTCATGCGGGCTGCCCACATGGTGCCGAGCGATAGCTTGTTGCCTCACCCCGCGCACATAGCTTCGTGGTAGTGGCCTTTCATAGACTCGGCAGCTGAAAAGAGGATCCCGATGCGCAGGTCGTGGTTCTTCATGTCCATACCATAAGCAAACTTTAGCACACACGAAACAGAGCTGCTCAATTTGGTACGCTTCTTGCATCATGTGTCGATCCGTTGCCGACTGTCCGGCATGGCAAAAGCAGAGCTCAGTCCGCAAACAATCTGATAGTGAGCCACATCTTCGCTAATCGACATCGTCACGCAATACTCGATAGCAACTACATCCAGCAAACACATCGTCGGAAAAAGAGCTGGAAATGAGTCGGAATAGTGCGATCATCGTCTCTACGTCGCTGCCCAGAAGTTTGTCGCGAGTCCCGAATGCGAAATTCATGTTTGCCAGAGCTCAAAGTAAATCCCGTTCCTTTGTACTATGCAACGCGCGCTGTACGCCCGGAAACACCAGCGAGAGGCCGTCGCTGTCAAAGCCATCAGCGGTGCGTCTGGAACATTCGTCAAAAGGAAACCCGTTTAGAAGACGTTCGGTCAAACGTCGTGTCTCACCTGATTATGACCACGCGCCACGTCGTCCGCAAGCCGCGCGAGTGCTCCTTTGAAATGCAAACTATGAGTGCCACTCCATCCTTTCGTCAGACTTGACAGGTTCCTCCTCCTTTGCTTTCAGATACCACAACTAGACACTCGGCGTCTGTCGGATCAGCTCGACCATCATCACATCCTCGTACTGCTGATCATCATGTCGATGGAGAGAGGTCCGGCCCATACGGGCTACAGATAGGCCACACTTGGCGTCTTGCATAAGCGCCGTCACTTGGTCCGTTATCAGCGACCGCAGTCGAACTGCTCCAGTCGTTACGTCTTTCGACAGCGTGTCCGGCAGCTGGCACCGCAATCTCTTTGCAGCTCCTCTAGGCACAAACACGAAGCAGTTTCGACGGCACTACAGTCGCAGCTCACTATATCACGTGCCTGTGCCGTGGTATCAATTGGTTACTACCAGAGGCTTTGGCATCGCCCTGGATCCATATCACCTCCTTGAGGCAAAGCTCTTCAACGACTCTGCAACAGGGATAGTGACACGTGAACGGCCCAAGTGGCGGTCGCTTCTGATCATTAAGAGGAATTGCGTGGCGTAACGTCTCGAAACGTCATCGAGTCGGTCGCAGAGCCGGACGAGTAGTGTCTGCAGTCCGGCTCTGCGACCGACTGTGCTGGCTTGCTGTGAATGTAGCCATGTGGTACCTGCTCGGCGCAAATGACTGGACCACAGAGCTTGACCTATGAACCCATCTTTTTGTCTCGCGTATCTCGGGTCATGAAGGAAGCGACGCGTGCCGCGGCTGCTGTTGCTGCGGCCTTCACGCGTTGGCAGCGCTATCACGAGCTCCATCGTGGACGGGCAACGCTGGAACGTGTCGAGGTCGAAGCGCAGTTTGCGCTCGTGGCGACAGGTCTTGCAGCAAGCGACGACCTGCTCCTCGAGATGTTCCAGGACGACGCCGAGCTGTTTGTTGCCTTTTTGGCACCGCTCTTGACGTTTGAGAACGATGAGCGTGACATAAGGCGACGACTGCAATTCACGCTCGTGTGTGCTGGGGAGATGCTCGACAGGTACTTGCAATCGACCGAGTTATCCAACGAGCTCGACGCTCGACGTCTCTTGACGGGTCCGTTGACGACTCAAGTGCTGCTGTCTCTTTTGCATACTACCACGAATGACGTAGTGCATCGCACGACGTTACGAATGCTCCAGATGCTGGTACGCTCGAGTGGACGGGGCTTAGATCGTCACGACACAGTACTGCAGCTCTGTCGTCGAGTGCAAGAGCGGTTGTGCGGACATGAACACGACAGCAGTACGATTTGCTTTGACCCGCTGTGTACTGTCCTGGAAGAGATACTACAGCTCGATATTGAGCTTGTGAAAACGAGGTGCATGGAAGTTTGTGAAGATGCCATTAGGTCGTGCAGAGAGCAGCCAAAGTTCCTGCGAGCAGTCGTGCTGCGCGTTGTGCCGGCGCTTGTCGACAATGAGCTCAATGATGCAGATATTGCTAAGATAAGGTGTACGCGGCTGCTAACTGCAGTGCTACGAGCATGGAAGCCCTGCAGACGTGGTGAAGATTTTCCGCATGGATTGCTGGACGTTGTGTGTGTTATTGTGCCAAAAGCCCCTCGTGAAGTTATTGGCGACAAGAAGCTGCAAGCACTAGTTTGCTTTGCGTTGCGACACGAGGACGCTTTATCACGGAAGCAAGGACTGTATGTATTGAAACAAGCCTTGTCGCATTGTGCACCGTGCTTTGCGCAGCAGCAGTATAGCACGGAAGTAGAACATGGGGTGACCGAGTGGCAAAACTTTGTCATTGCGTCTGAAGTGATTCAAATGCACCACGAACAACACCTGATTGAACAAGTTTGGCCGCAGGTAGCAGGCCTTCTGATGAATAATTTTATTGTGTATGAAGACTCGAGGCCGCAACAAAATCGAAAAGGTTGGCCGGTACAGCTGACCTTTGACTGGATGCAGGGTCTTTTCATGCGACTCTTTGCGCACGATAATCCCAGTGTTAAGCGCCTTTTCATCTCCAACTTCATGGAAACTTGTGTGGATGCATTGCACATTTGGGAACAACAGAGCAGTTCTCGCAAGGGTGTTATTCGGCAAGTCTCCATTGCGTGTGCGTCTTCTTTTGCGCGTTTCGTGCTCGACGACTTGCTGCTCGCGTGCAATGACCCGATACTTTTCAAGCACCCGCATCGTGCTCGCTTCCAGGCCTTGGTTTCGGAATTTCTGGCGTCTTTTCTTGCTTTTCGGTACGTAGAAATCGAGCAGGTAAGCATACTGGATGACTTTGTTGCTGCGGTTGAAGAGGCGATATTTGGCGAAGGCGCTCGTTGTCACTCACCGGAGGCTCTACTGAGCATGCTTCAGGTGTTTCAGTCGCCTCGACTGAAGCATGGAGCTGCCCCAGCGTCGGCGAAGATGCTTCTCAGTGCCGCGGCGGTAGACCGGTTGCGCTTTTTGATCGACGTACATGCGATGCAATCCTTCTCACAAGCGACACGAATAAGGTTGCTTCGGGCGCTGAGTCACGCTCTCACTGGAGGTTTCGTCAATGCGTCAATAATTCCGCTGTTGTTGCTGGCGCGCGTGCTCTGTGTATTTCCAATATCTAGTTTGGTAGCTGATAGCGGTGAGACCATGTTGCGCTTAATGGCGTGGCTACAGACTTCTGGCGCTGATGACAGCTCGTCTTGTTTTTCAGTCGCTCTTGCGTCTGCTTTCCAAGAGTATTTGGTACCCGAGGAAGCAGGAAGCCACGAAGGAACACTATTAAGTCCGACTCAATTGGCGAGGCTGCTGCTTTTTACAGCAAAAGACACGCGCGAAGTCAAGAGTCGCCGGATGCATTCAGTGGAACGATCAGAAGATCAGGTCGACGTGACGGTGTTGCTTGATACTTCGCTCAGTGCTCTACTACCGAAACATCGAAACGTAGTGCTGAACTGTACTCGACTTGTGCTTTTGGTAGCAAAGATTGAAGAGCAAGTTCAGGATCTGCTAGGGAGGTGCTCCACCCTACCGTCACAAGGCTTTACTGTTCTGGTTGAGCGTGAAGCTATATACACCGAGCAATTTAGCAATTTACACCTGCTTGATTCGGCCACGGCAATAGTCTGGCGCTGGTTGGACAATGTCAAGGATGCAACGGAAGCCGGCAAGATCGTAATTGGAGATTACGAAAAAGAAGTTGCCATGGAAGTCGTAGCGCCAGCTATGTTTGTTCTTACTCACACGAGCGTCTACAAAATGAGCACAAGTGGTGGAGCGTCTGAAATGACTGCATTGAATGCGCTCTGTGAGAAGTTAAAGGGAATTTTGGCAGCCCCTGCGCACCAAACAGCCTTTGACTTGGCATTAGCAGCAAAATGCTTGTCTATAGTCGGATGCAACGCTGCTGCCGTAGACTCGTTGAGTGCGTTCGAGAGTGAGCGCATTATCCCCCTTTTGCTTGCTATTGACACAAGTCGGCGGTTCAGTGGCAAGCTTGATGCAACATTTGCCATTAGCTTGGCAACGAACAAGTGGGTATTATTGTACGAAGTCTTGAAATCTTCGTCATTTGTTGACACAAAACTTCTTCACAGCGTTCATCATCATTGCGTTGATGCGCTGCCTACTGCAGGGATGGACTCTTCAGCATTGATTTCAATGGTAAACGTGCTATCAATTACGCTTGCGCAACTGATCGGGTCAAAGCCAAGAGACCCCAATGATGTGGAACAACTTGGCAGTTTACTCCAAGATATTTGGATGGCCTATATTGACAGTAAATCGAAAATCGACGAGCTTACCCAAGCCGTTATCGTTTGCGTGTTTCAGCCTGTGTTCTTGCTTCGTCGTGAGCTGAAGAGCACCATGAAGCACTGGATCGAAGAGTTCATTTGCTTTGGTTCTCGGCACAGACCAAATGTGCTTTTTCATTTGGTTTGCCGCTTGTGCCAAACATGGCGAGCACAACCAGCGTCTGCCCTATTGTTTGCCGATGAACTCGTGCAATTGCTGCTGTACAAAGAACCGATAATTGACGAAAAGGAGCAGCTAGTGACAAACGTCACGAATCGGACTGATAAAGGCCAACACCGCGTTTCTGCTAGCAACGGCTGCGCTCAAACAACGGCTATCGCAAGCCATGCGAAGGACCGATTCGTTCGGCTAGTTGTGCTGAGCTTCCTGGATAGTGTCGCTGTTGATTCAGCTGCCGATACTCAGCAGCTCATGGATGAGCTGATATGCCAGCTCATTCAATTGAACGTGACTCCCGATTGGCAGAAGCAGCACATGCTTAACAGTGACGGATATGGTAAGAAGTTGCGATCCTGGCAAGCGCTCTGCGTTTTGAGTGCGCACGTTACAAAGCCAGTTTTAGCTTCGCTACTTCCCACCCTCCAGACTGCATTGAACGTACCTCAACTGCCGAGCGTCCGGTATTACATCGATCTTTTTGGCATTCGGATGGTAGGTCGATACCCAAGTGAGATCTGTTCGGGTATTCTGCTTCCCATGCTACGCGATCCGAATTTGATGCCACAAGTGAGTGCTTCGATACTGCTTTTGGCCACATATCTCGTAAAGTACAAGCTCGATAACGAAAGCCTTGATGTCGACTCTGGAGAGTTGCTAGAAACGATGCTGCCATGGCTAAATTCGTCCCATGGATACACGCGTGTTCTGGCTCAGTATTTGGTGACCAAAACTCTTCCCTGCTACATCCACCAGCTCCGTCAGAGCTCGAGTGACATGGATTCGTCGGGTCTTTGCTTCTTGGAAGGTACTGCGCGCTATTTGAGTAACAATAAGGAATGCAAGCGAATGTTGCGTCGGCAGGCGCGCCAGTTGGAAGAGTTTCTCCCGGACTATGAAAGCTCGCTACTTGGCATGCTTTGTTCGGGCTACATGAGCGAGTTTGGGGAACTCGTGCCCCGAGATGAAGTGCTTCGTTTTAGTGAGCAGTTCAAAGCTGCGATGAATGATCTGTACGCCCAATACCAACTCGAAAACTTTACTGCGGCTCCATTACATGCGGATGTTGGCGATAAATTGGCGTTAGAGACCAGCACTGCGCGACAATCAATCACTGTGCAGCGCAAGATTGATACGTCAGCGTTACTTCTTGATGACAAAGCCTTGCCTCCTGTAATGCGTGCAGACGCTGATGTAGCGCGTAGCAGAGACACATTAAACGCTCGGCAACGGCCTCGGCAGCCTATCATCATGTGCGCAAGCTTGGTCGACAAGGTCCCGAATTTGGCGGGATTGGCACGTACATGCGAGATATTTAATGCTCAGAAGATGATCGTGCCCAACCTGTTCGTGACAGAGCAGGACCCGACTTTCGCGGCTGTGAGTGCAACGGCATGCAAGTGGATGCCGCTGGAAGAAGTTCGGCCGCAGGGTGACAACCTGCACCAAGCTTTGCACCGCTGGAAGAGTGAAGGATATACCATTGTGGCTGTCGAGCAGACAGGTTCCAGTGTAAGTCTCGCAACCTACACGCTGCCGCGCAAGATGGTGCTTGTTTTGGGTCGAGAGACAGAGGGCATCCCGGTGGACGTGTTGCAGCTCGTTGACGTGTGCGTCGAGATCCCGCAGTTCGGTCTGGTGCGATCGCTGAACGTGCATGTGAGTGGAGCCCTCGTACTGTGGGAGTATACGCAGCAGCAACTTCTGAGTGAAAGTTGAGTCAACTCATCTGATTGCAAACACCAAACGGCACTGAGATTGTAATGTGATGAACGATACGATGGACAAGCCATGGGGCCGTGGCACAGTGTGTTCATTCGGCGAACAGTGATGAATGTCATTTGGTCGTTTGATTGCGGATGTACACGGAATCCGTCGCATATTGACACGCATAAGTTCCGTGGAAAAGCATTTGCAGTGAAGGCTGCTACGTCTCCCTGTTAACGTTCAATCCAAACCAGCGATCAATATCGTCTCTTTGTCGAGCTGGGGCCAAGGGTCATGGATGTTCTCGCGTCTCGGTGCGGGCAGCGAAGGTATCCAGTGTGCCGCTTCCAAAACCAAGATGCACTTGCCGCAAACGTGAAGTCTTCGGCTAAGCTATTTACCTACAGCCGCGAATAAAGAGCGTGTGATGAAAGCTGAATGGGGTCGCGAGTGCTTTAGAGGCCTCGAGTTCGAATGACTTCAGCGCTAGAAGCTAGCCTCGCGCAGCGATAGCGTTTACCACGACAGCAAATGATCTGCAGACATGAACAAAGTTGCGTACACGCAGTCCCCCCATGTCTGAGGGTAAAAGCTTGAAACGACTTGCACATCGCAGTCAGCGCCTCGTCATCGAAAGCAAGGCTCTAGCTATGCGGTCACTGTGGGAGCCTGAGGCAAGAAGAGCGTCAACTATGGCTGAGGTAGATGAGCTCTCATGAAGGCGCCTCTCTCTATCAGAAGGTAGACCGGTATGGTAATTCGACAATCTCACGGACAAAGCTGTGCTGTGTACGCCGGTACTGGCGTGACGCACACTGTAGTTGCTTGAGAAGGGTCACATAAGCTGTCACTCTCTTGCTTTGCTGAAGATGCGCAACATCGGTGCATGTCCGATGTATGTAAAGACCGGTCTTCTGGAATCAGACCCATTCGATTGTCGCGCTGGCCGATATGTGTTGCTGACAAAGCACACGAGCCAAAAGGGCGACACTGCGGGTATGCTTATGATTGTGATGCGAACGCCTCGGATCTTGGATTGTGGCGATGGTATCGCTATCATGTGGTGTATTGCTCATCCAGTGCTTGTACCAAACGTATCTTCAATTAATTGGTGCTCGACAGCACTACTGGGACATACAGGAACGAAGTGATGTTGATGTTGCACCGTTGCTCCAGCTCTACCTCTTCTCTCAACTCGCGGGGTGTCAGGCCTTGTCCAAGGACGAGGCAGCGCTCTTTAGACCGTTTCCCTTACGCTGCTTCCGCAGTGGACGGCCATAGCTGACTTGTTGTAGGGCTCAGTGTTGTGCACACTGAAGACATGACAGTGACACAAGGCGCGGCTGCTCCGGCTAGCCAAGGTACACCATACGCAAGCTTCCATCGACATGGCCCTAACGCGCGGAAGAGTGTTGCACTTGCAGCATCTTGGACCAAGCTCCTGGTTGGTTTGGTTTGAGACCTAATCGAGTTGGCAGTAAAGCTGCCAAGTAGAATGATTGACCCACCAAACGATGCACAGAGAGACAGTGCATCATTTAGCATAACGTGAGCATTGCTTGACATTGCTGCGGCGCTTCGTTGTGGGTGTTGTTCTTGCGCTTGACCAGGTCCATCCATTACCGTGGTACGACGGAGGATCGAATTTACGGTACTTTGACCAAGATTCTGCACAGCACACACTCAAGTGACCACTGTCTATTGCACATCATGGAAGCAAATCTAGAATGGCTCAGGTCCCACGTACATGGTGGGCGAACGACTATCATGGTCGATTTTGCAATTTGGCGCATGGTCCCACCACCATTCTGACTTGGTAAGCTCTTCGGACGTCACAAAATCACCAATTGCGACGTGTCCTGATCGAATGGTGACACATGGGTTGATAGAGACGAACACCATGACCGTCAGCTTGTACGCAAGTCGTGCAAGATATAAAATAGAGCTTGACGCATTTCTTCATGATTGACGAGGGAGTCCTTGAGTAAGAGTTGGCCAATAAAGAAGTTCGCTACTACATGCAGGTCTAAGAATAAGGACAATACTTGTACATGCCTACATGTTCTGCTACCTGTCAAGATGCGACGGTGTGAACAAACTTGATTTAGATACATCCCTTTGGTAATACACTTTCGCACCGTGAAACGGTAACCTTATCCGCTCCCGCATCGCCCCCCGTTCGAGCGAACTAAATGTTACTTGCAACAGACCGAACGTGGCGTGAATGCCGGTCAATCTTTGCATTTCTGCATGAAATGGTAGAAAACTGACTTAAGGCAGGGTCACAATGGACTTGTACAACAATCGTAAGTTCGGTGCAAGCACAATCGTACCGGTATCATTCCATACTGCGCTACCTATTTGTACGTGTCAAAGGCTTCCCCGCAAATTATCGTATGGGTACTTCTGTTGTAACATGCTCAAAAGATTTCTCTTCGAGACATACGCGGCTCTTTGTGTGCCTGAATGGTAGAATGACCAGCCAGTAGATCACAAAAGATGCATCTTGTCATGCGGCCTATGAATAGATAAGTCGCTCTACAGCTTCTGCGACGCCGAAGGGTATGAGGCTGCCACTAAAATGACATGTTGGATGTTCAGTCCAGTGATATCGCAAAATCGACATCTTCGATATCTACAACCAATGAATCGTCAGCCGAACAAAGCAGACCTTTTAACAGTGCATGAACAGTGCCGTACAAACCGCTTCTTGCGTTCTTACCCTCCCATCTGTAACCCCACGTCAAATGTGTTCGGACGGAGGTGGTGTACGCCATGTAGGCATATGCAGTCCTACTGTACGGACGATAGCACAAGGTCGTTAGAACCTGAATGGTAAGTTACATTGCGTCCTCTACGCTCTGCAAGAATGTCGTGACAAAGTGACATTGAATGAACTCTATCCGGCGCATATTGTGCACGATCTTACCCCTGACACGGGTTAATGGGTTTGAGTTTGGTCCGACATGCAATTTGGCAAGCTGCTCCATAGACCAGGCCAAAGCTGGCAAGAGCTAAAATTGTCCGAGCGTCGGATTGTACCTGAAAATTATGAGGGAGATCCATGAGCAGTATTGCAAAAGAGCTGCGTGGTCTTCGTTGAGATCTATCAGAGCATTAGAAACACTTTAATCGTCTAATTTGATCTCGGTGACGTCTCGTTCATTGTGAACAGGATGTAGGCATTTATATACCAAAGTGCGAAAACCTATTCCCGAACAATTCGCATATCGTCATCGGTGAACTGCTTCAAGCTAGCGAACCCTACTGCCATCTTTTACCTCACTTCTCTTTATTGAGATGCTGAAGGTGTGTGACTCATACTGAAGGTACAGTGCGAATGATTGGACCGCACGTTGTGCGCCAAGCGCGCAAAAGCTGGCAGAAGTGCTGCCGCATCGACAAGATGTTGACTGTTTGTCTTGCTACAAAGAGACTTGTCAGTACGCGAGCCTTGAGCCAGGCAGCAGGAGCTAGGTCCTTGAAGATTAAAGTAGAAAACCTAAAAAAGGACAAAATCTATTCGACATTGTCGTTTAATCACGTGTGTCTGCGTGGAGACAACGACACTCACTGTAGTTCAAATCATCCACATCATCATTCCGTCGGGCGACAGCGCCGTGTCTCCCACGGCAAAATCGGATACGGTATTAGTTTGCGCTTCACCACCCGGGAATTGGGAGTCATTTATGCAGATGAAAGCCAGGCGACGCATCTCTTCAAAAGCAAGCTTGTTACGGTGACGGGACTGTGCCAATGTGCTCATGCATAGCGATTTCTCAGAGCCAATACTGCTGGGCGCTAACGAAAAAAGCGTGAGGGCGAGCGACTTAAGGTGCGGCCAATCTTCAGCGTCTATCTGCCAAAATTGCAGCGGCGTGCGATTGCCTTTCTCTAGCATCTCCCACTTGTACGTGCGGTTGTTGCGCTGGTTCTTAGCGTAGCTGACGTAATCGACATACTCTGCTGCCATCGCTCGCCTCCGCTCTTCATTAACGCCCGTGTCTTGGTCTGTCTCGGGGAAGTTAAAGATAAGCTCTTCAATCTGCTCGCGATAGTCACGCGTCATGGACTTGCCAATGTACCGTGGATCTAGCAAAAAAGCTAGACCATGGGCTTCACTCAATACGTACTGCCACCTCTCAGTGACTACCCTCTTGATGTATTCCAGCTCAACCGTCGTTAAACCGAAGACTGCATCAAAGTCGGTCAGCAGGTGTTTAGACTCAAAGTATACCTCCGAAATCGGAACACGGTCGTCTTGGAACTTGTACAAAATGAGCTCGATAGGCGTAAGTATTGTAATCGCCTTCTCCAACGTCATCTTCCTGTTTATACTCAGCATAAAGCTCTTTATGCTATGACGGACGACGCATTGATTTTCCGGCGATTCGGGTCCGACAAATTTAGAGTCGCTTACAATAGTCTGAAGCACGTCTTCCAGTTGTACCAACATTCGGAACCGTGCCGCAAGTGTGCCCCAGGACATAATGTGTGACATGTTCGCAAAACCTTTCATGGTGTGAAGCACCTGGGCGTCGAACGTCTTGTATTTGGGTGCAAACTGATAGCTACTGAAGAACAAAAACAATTCGTTGCAGCTGTTGTTCAGCTCGACGAGGTCTTGAAACGGAAAATCCATCGGAACTTGCGGAGTAACCCGCCTGGGATCGTTTTCAAGCGATTTCTCAGGACCAAAAATGTCCATAATTGCAAGATGCAGTGCGTGACAGATGCAGCCATAGAAAAATTTGGTCGGGTACTCTGCTTTCAGCATATCCCACGCTCGCGAGTGAAACACTGTGCTACCAGTCACCACTCCACTTACATTGCTCACAATCGGCTGCATCATTCGTTTAATGTCTTGTGCAATCATGATCGAATTATGTTGTGCTTCATTTCCAGCAGTCTTTTCGGACTCCAGAAAAAATCTCTTTTCATTGTTCACCGCCATGTACGTCACAAAGGCATCCTCTGGGTTGCTCGAATGATACAAATTTAAATTGGACCACGCATCTCTCTGCAGACACACCCGCGCAGAACTAGTGGTGAGGTATCCCCACACCTGTTTGTGAATCTTTTCGTAGCAACGACTCATTAGCTCTCCCCCTAGTTTTTTCTTCTCTGGCAACTTTACGCTTGGTCGCAAGAGAGTCACAGCTCGGGCCAAATGCGAGTCCTCAATAGCCTCAAAGGCCATGCCTGTCGCGTAAGCATGCATGGCCATGGCTTCTTCAAACATGTCACTCTGCGTGCTCGACAGCGGCAAGTACTTTCCGCTCCTGTCTTTCATCGCTGTGTCCGATTTGTGCCCCGACTCGTCTTTCAAAGCCATTCCAACGTCCACTAGACTCTCCGACATGCTCTGCTGCATTGCCATTTGGTTCATCACTTGTGCATGTTGCACGGCTGCTTGGTTCAGTGCACTGCTCGTGCAGGTCAGCGGTCCATGCACTTGCTGCAGCTGGTCCTGCAGAGCTTGCTGCACGTCCACTGGCGGCACGTGAGCCTGTGCCTGAGCCACCGCCTGTTGCGGCGGCATCGGCGTCTCCGACTTGACGCGTTTCTTCACGGGCCCTTTGGCATTGATCTTTTCATTGTAGAGCGGCAGCACGTCGGCAAACTGATTGACAAAGGAGAACTGGTGCTGCAGGTCCTGGAACGCGGGGCACTTTTTCAAGTGGCGGATCGCCTGCTCGGACTTTTTGTAGTACAGCACCTGGTGCTTGCAGTGCTTGCAGGACGCCGCGTTGCGACGCTGCGGGTCGGGCTCGTCGGTCAGGAGCTGCCAGATGAGGCTCGGGGTGCGGCCTGGTTTCTTCTTCTTCTTGGTCGGCTTCAGGGTCGTCGTCGCCGCGGTCGTTGCCGCGGTCGTCGTTGTCATTGGGGCGGGCGGCAACATGTTCGCAAGTGCCGGCGGCGGCGAGGAGGTCATTGGTGGAAAGGCAAGTTGAAGTGGCCTGCCCGCTTGATTGGCAAGGAGGGGGCTGCGCCGAAGGTTTTTCTGTAGACACGTGCGTCGTACGGAATGCCAGCGCCGAAGGTTTTTCTACGCCACGGCTTTTGCTGGCGTGGGTGGGCTGGGGGCGACATCGAGCGACGTTCGTGCGACATGCTCGAAGCTGCCTGCGCGACACGCGTTCGTGTGGACCACCTCGAAGGGCATCGCCACCCACTCACCTGTGGCACAAGCAGTCGACGAGAAGGTTGGGTACAAACACCCGTCGATAAACACCCGTCAAAACACCCGTCAAAACGAATAGCACGTTTTGGGACGGACCTTACACATTCGTGAATTCAAAAGAAAAGAAACAGTTCTACGACTCAATGGAGCGCGGTGGTGCCCTTATCGATGAGGATAAATCATTCACGGCATGAAGACGATGTGAAGCATCACAATAAATCGTGGCTGGCGGCGAGAGAGAATCGTGAAATCGATACCACCTGTTGATTGTAGGCATCACGTCTACCAAATCTTGGCAAGACAATTAATTATATATCGACATCCAGTACGATTAATAAGTCGGAACGGGGTCTTCACATGAGGCATTTACTATCCAAAATCTGAAAATGTAGTGATTACACACGCAAATCTACAAAGCGAAAAAAGAACTGTATTTGCACATTATAGCTATTGCTGCGGTCAAATGACTTTTTTCGTGCCATCGTAAGGGAACAGCATTGGGTTCATACTAAAATGAGCTGAGGCGTCTTCAGCACATATATTATCCCTCGGAGTGTATATGACACGGTGTTGCAAAAGTACCGAGTAATCTCATCTACGTAGGATACGATGATCGACCACTTGCTCCCGATTGGAGGTCGGATGTAGATGGCCTCCTATGATTACGCATATATAGCCTGTTTAAAGTACTGATGTCGACAAGATTAAGCCCGCTGGGTACTCAATCGACTCGATCATCACCACAGTCCAAATGGATGTCATTTGATATACGACAGTGACCCGACTGGAAGCCTTTGCTGGCATGCTAAACGCCCTTAATCCGATCATATCTGCTTCCGCAGTTATTGCTGGAGGATGTAATTTGCGATCAAAAAGTTGCTACTTCAGAACGACAGTAGAAATAGATAAGACATAAATAGGTTAGACTACTATCCCGCATCATCAAAACAAGAAAAATAGGTCTGACGGCTATAGAACATAAAAGTCAAAACATCGCGAAAGCTATAAAATTGTACGAAACTTGATACTATACTTTTGGACACCAAATAAACATATGCAATACGCACCAATTACCACACTGCCCGCGCCTCTTATTCCAAGAACGTAGACTTTGCATGTTTTATGACGTCGTCAGTTTGCCAACAATACCAAAAGGATCAGAATAGACCGGCAAACGCAAAGCTGCGTATTTATGTCGGCGGAGCAACAAGATCGAAACTTTAAATGTGGATGCCGTCCCGTGACATGATGGTCAACGACTGGTACGGACGTTCGGTGATAGCGTCAAAACCTTATACGTTACATTACCAGCCTACCAATGGTGTTTTTTCAGAATGATATATTCTTTTACAAGCGTGACAGTACTGTCTATGTCCTTACCTTCTTAGCAAGGGACCCGCTCATGCACAGATCTCGTGGTCGAGTTTGTGAGTACAAGACTTCCAGAATGTTAAAATTTAGCTGCACATCTACAAGATGCTTTGACAAATTTGGCGAATTGATACACAGGAGCCTGCAATGCGACTTTGTCGTATGGACGAGCGCTCGCAAATATACAAGCTGCTTGATGAAGAACTCGCTATGTTGTGTATGTGCCCTTTCATAGCGTTTACATGATCATAAACAACACGTAACGGTGTGTTGCATTTTCGTATAGCTCAGCTCCCATGAAATGATGTCGCTTTTGCTAGCGAATCGATTGTCTATCAAGAAACTGCTCGTTTCCGTGTCGTCAATAATTTTCAATGCTGGTATCGACTGCGCAACTTACGAACAGAGACATGTGGTAAGCAAGGGGAAGTGGTACCGAACGTCAATGGGTTGGTCTACAAGTCTGGGCTAAACACCAACATACGAAAACATTACAGTATTTCAGAGCGATGATTAACTGAAATGCATTTTACCTTTATGACCTGGTCGAACATGTAGCAAAACGCTGACAGGCAGGTCGGCAAGGTGTTCACGACATAGTCGGACTCGTGTGTAAAACTAGTTACAATGGCGATCGCGCCGCAGGAAATCAATTCTTCATGGCGGAGCTACTTGCTTGTCCACAATTTTCTCGGAGAACGATCGTGTGAACAACGGGGGCAAACGAGCGTTTTCATGCCACTAAAAGTACCGCAAATGCTACATCTCTCTTCGATTGCTACTACGTAAGACCAACAAAGACGTCGCATTTATACTTTACTATATAATCCTCAGGATGCGGATAAGCGTACAATGTTTCTGTGTGTAGTGCGTGTTTTTGTTTTGCTTTTACATTCTCAGCTATGTGTGGTAGCGGCAAATGCAATAGTTGTAATTTTGTATTGAGATTGATTTCGTACTCATATCAAGAAAGGTACCACATAAGATAGGATCAAAGTGAAGCATATCATTCTTTTCGAATGTACACAATATAATGTAAAGAAAATAATTCTCGAGAAGTGTATACTTCGTATGTATACAAATATGCCCGAGATCATGCGCAAATTTACATGCATACATCCTTTTCTCCTCTTGCTTATTGCCTACATGTATTCGCGACTTCTTTTTCAGTCGTCAATCATTATATAGAGGAAAAGAGGTGCGTTGGTATTACGGAGCATGGCCTTTCATAACGGCATACTCGTCTGTATGGTTACGTATATTGTATCTTTTTCACGTTCATATAATTGATTTGACATTAGATTCCTCCGTGGCTGTCGCTGTTGATGTGTCATTGCGTTGTTAGTTTGGATGAAAAGTGGCACACACTGTCAAGGTCGTCGATCACGATGGTGTAATAGGTGCTTAAGGTCTGACGATCAGCAGTAATATACTTCGTATAACATCAACACACCGCGAAATATACTGGACAGTCGATAAGATGGTTTTGTGCTTTTGCAGGAAGTCATGCATATGCTTGGGGAAACGCAACGTGGATCGAGCATTCGAAGAGCGCGCAACACAGATGGAACTTCAAGGTTGCACAAAAATAAGCTGCTTCATGCGGTACTGATGATAGAGCCAACCGATAGATTGCAGTCTAGACGCTGTGAAAATAGATCCAATATTTCTGGTTCCCATGGAGGATACAATGGGCACAACCGCAAGTACCCCATCCTCTACGTCCTGATACAGAATTTTTGGCATAAACTCATGTGCAATTATACTACGCTTTGTCTGTGCGCTAACACAATGAAATCAGTCCTCGGATCGTATAATCACGCATTGTGGCAAAGGCACTAAAGTGTCAAATTGCTCGGTGTAAAACGTAAATACCAGTAGATACAAAGATATGATCCGACACGACCAAACCTTTCTGATTATGAGATTGCCTTCCGATCCCTTTGACCATTTGTACACCATAAAAATAACCCAATGATTGTATACAGTATCGTGGCTACCCGCATCCGAAGTATTTAACAGCACTATCGATGAACACTCTATCTAGAGTGTAAGTCAAGAGAATTTTTTGATTATCTAAATCCAAATCGTCTTTAATGTTTTGCCGTCATGTGGTACATTTCTACTACCCAAAATCATAATCTGGTGCATTATATTTCATCTTGTGGGGCATATTTTTTCATTTTTTTATTTTCTCCTTTTGTTTTTCCTCAAGCTTAATAATTTACAGCCCCGGACATTAAGCCTTCAAACTTTTATATTACATTACAGGCCTCGACATGTCGTGTAAAGTTGAGAAGCAAGACTCACAATGGTTCATGATTAAAGTATTGCACAGTCTCGAGAATTCGTTTTAGAACGACTGTCAGTGCTCTACTTATAGCCTACTCGCTTGCACGTAGGGTATATACATTGATGAGAGAGTTGAGATGCAATTAATTGTTGAATGAATAGACAATTTTGACTGGAAGGTTGCAAAATAGCAAATATTGTCTCTCTTTTCTTCACCGCACACCGCTCATCACATACTGCACGCTTTACCACACATGACCCATTTATCGTCTGCTGTTAGTAATGTTACTTTTTGTGCTCGATGTCTACCTGGTAGTTACTAGAGCCTATTTCTTGTCGTAAAGGTATGCCACAGTAACAACGCAGCCGCGACTAAAGAGATAATTACGGTAGCGACAAGGGCCCGTACCTTGATCAAAGGAATGATAAGACCTCTTGTCGGTGTGTAGCTTCTCTCTATTGCGTCGCTTTAGACTGTGAAGGATCTGGCGAAGAAGGGGATTACGCCGACCCTTGCAACAACAGTGAGGGAAGTAGAGCCGCAAGTATCTTCCCCGCGATGTTGATCGGTATCACGAAATGAGTGCATCACTGATGGCACGGATGGCGGCGAAAAAGTGCTGAAAAAGGTGGCGGAGAACGCGTACTACTTATCATGAGCCATAAACTAGTTCAGACATCTACACAGACCAATTATAGCAGCACTTACAAGTGCAGCATTCTATCAAGGTAGAAGGAAAACCAGGAGCCCCATTCAATCTATTAATGAATGGCATACACGAAAACTCCTGGTATCACATCTCCGTCACCTTTCGGTACTCGATACCGGTCGTTCTTTTTTCGGGACCAGTATCAATTTAACACAACTATTTACAGACGAGTTGCAGACCTTCAATTGAAGCCCGGTTCTCGAAACAACTCGGATCGTGCATCTTACAAATTAGTGAGTCCTGTTCCCGCAGGTGAGCGTGTCTGTCGATCTATACACAAAAGTAAAGAAATGATTTAGAAGTGTCCAACTCTTATAAGGATATGTGACTTCACCATGCAGAGTTACGGGCCCGCTGAAAGTATAAGTTATCAGGTTTTGACGCTATCACCGAACGTCCGTTCCAGTCGTTGACCATCATGTCACGGGACGGCATCCCCATTCGTCGTTTCGATCTTGTTGCTCCGCCGACATAAATACGCAGCTTTGCGTTTGCCGGTCTATTCTGATCCTTTTGGTATTGTTGGCAAACTGGCGACGTCATAAAACATGCAAAGTCTACGTTCTTGGAATAAGAGGCACGGGCAGTGTGGTAATTGGTGCGTATTGCATACGTTTTCTTTGGTATGTAACAATTTGGAGATCAATTGTATAATTTCTGCGCATTCGCAATCATTTCGACTCTTTTCGACTCTTTATTTTGTAATCTTGTTGCATGCATCTATTCTTCATTTATTTTGGTAGACTGCAAATAGTTATGGAATGTTCGAGGTCGACTGTGACCGATAGCCGTGCACCTGAACCGCCATCCGCCACCCTAGCAGTCTACGTAGCTTGGAGCGACACCAGCGGACATCGCGGCTCCCGGCTAGCTCCACGCAGCACAACAAGCCACTGAGAAAGACAGTGAACGAGTAGATGTCATGCCTTCGTATAGCAATGCCCGACATACCCTCTCGACATGTACGTAGGAGAAAAAAAAACGCACACACGAAAAAGGCTGTAGGGTCGTGCCACGTGTTGGTGGGCATGCTGTCCCCATCATGAAGATTGGTCGGAACCGTACACCAAGAGCCGGCACTTGAGTCGCTCTTTGCACTAGAAAATTTCGCATGACGCTTGCGACATATTTTCGTAAATTGACGCTGGCCGACCACCAGTAATCTTCTACTGAGCGTGGAATGTGGCCGCCACGGTCCAGTCCCCGCATGTCTGGGGGCCGTCGACGCCATCTCCGACACGGACCGTCGTCTCTCTTGCCCCTCGCGGCCGCGACAGTCATCACGCTGTTGCTACTGTCGACGAAAGTTGAAGTCGTCACGCCCTCCAGTCGCGGTACAAAACGTCGCTACCCCTTTGTTGAAATAGATCCTCGCGGTCGATCCCGTTGTTGTTTTAACGCGTTGCGTCCTAAATACTAAAACCAGACGACGACGAGGCCACGGCCACTTGCGCGGCCATTGGAGAGAGGACGGACACTGTCGCTGATACCCGCGAGCGGCCTGTATTCGAGCCATCTCCATCGAGCCACGGACCGGAAGTGGGTAAGTGCTGAATTGGGACTCTTCGTACTTAACAGTCTGAACAATTAACAACAACAGCAACGGGTGGACGGGACCAGTGTCCTGCACTGCGTGTGCACATATATTGTCTCCAGTGTCCTGCACTGCTGTGGTGGCAACAATAGCCCCAGCAACTGCAGCAGCAGTAGCAGCAGCAGCAGTAGCAGTTACAATTGGTCCATTGCACTAACGCTTCGTGCGCGTGCACTGGCACTTTGACTCTGCAGAGAGCTTATTGGCGGACTTTGACAACGACGGACGCGTGGGCCGCCTCGAGATCCAGCAGATCAAAGACAAGCTGCACTGCCATCTGGACACGGACGACAGCGGGGGCTTGGACGTGTTTGAGCTCCAGAACACGGCACAGAGCGACCAGGACGTGGACGTGGCGCTGAAAAAACTGGACAGCGACAACGACGCTGTTGTGTCCTGGAAGGAGCTCGATGAGCGCTGGGAGAGCGTGGGCGCCGAGATGACTGTCGACGAGGTGGCGGACTGGGTGGCCTACGCAGTGCAGCTGCCGCAGTACAGTGAGATCTTTCGGGCCAACTCCATCTCCGGGTACACGTTTCCTCTGTTGATGGCACACGACGGAGCGAGATTGCAAGAGATTGGCGTGCACAGCGGACTCCATCGTCGTCAATTGGCCATGTTCTTGCAGATGAAGTATCTTGGCATGGGGCGCAAGCCGAAAGCTGTCGTATCGAGTGTCTGCACGGTAGGCGACTCACCAAGTGCACAGGAGACTGTCGTGCTTCAGATTGCGTGGGTGCCAGCAGAGGACTCGCCACAACGCTATCAATTGCAACGTCGAGAGCCTGGAGAATCGACGTGGGAGCTCGTGTTTACAGGGGCAGACACGGAGGTTACGGATGTGGTGAAGTATAATCGCTACGTGGTCTACCGCCTCACGACGTGGAACTCGTATGGGCGTAGCCCGCGCATATACATACACTGTGACGATGCAGCTGCAAGTGTCTCCGCAGTATCGGATTCTTCGACAAAAGTCGAAGACTCTTCGCATTCCCTATTGCCAAGCACAAGATTGTCTCAATCGCCACACTCGCTGTCTCCTCAGAGTAGACACAAGCGCAGTTCGCCCACAGAGACGAGCAGCCACCTCGAAAGTGTTGAGCACGCAAACTTAGCAGATGGCTGTGACCACCAAATCAGCATGTGGGGCTTGCTGAAGATATACTTTTGGTGGCTGGACGACGTGATCATTATTCTTTTGGTCGTGATGCTACCGATCCGTGGTATCATATACGGTGATGCTAACTTGCTGCTTCGCCTGCTGCGCCGGTTGCCACCTAACATGCCAACGCGCGTAACCGTTGAAATGGACTCTACCCAAGCGACGATGGAAAACGCGGTTGCTCGAATATCGTGGGAAAAACCCGTCGACAACGGTGTTCCCATTGTTTGTTACACGGTTCGTTGGACGCGCACGAAGACCGAAGAAGAGATGTGCACAAGGCTTCTAGCTGTACCGCTACCAACCACAGTGACTGTCGGAAAGCTCCATCACGGGGAGACGTATAAGTTTGTTGTCCAAGCGACGAACCAATTCGGATTGGTCACAAGCTCAAGTCGGTCCACGTATATGGTGCCGATTCCGGAACTCAAGGGGAAGCTTAGGCCTCGGCATCTTTTATCAGAGCGCCGCGCAGTGAGCAACCAGTGCCACGTATGTCATGACCCTCGTTACAAGAAGAAGGTGCCGTTCACGGCGACACTTGATCGGCGTATCCTGCATTACTGCTGTTCGTGTGACAAGGAGTTTTGTCACTACCACAAAGGAGAAGTCCATCATTCAAAGGCCGTGTCCTGTCCAATTGTTGACGGCCGTTGCATCTGCATCACATGTAACGAAAGACGTTTGCGGCGGACTGTCACCAACTAGGAAAAGGACTTTGAGTGAGGGCGTGCTGCATACACACTGAATGGGTTTGTGTCGTTGTCAATTTGATTGGACGTATCAAATGGAGAGTGTTGTTGGCTTGCCACCCGTAGACAGCCACTCTAGCTAGACTTGGCTGTCACTCGATCGGGCTTTTGCCTCAAGCCGGTAGGCCACATTGTTGCACCAAATGGACAGCGGTCCTGTATTTCGCGCATACAGAAGATCACAATACGCACTGCGCGCTGAATAGTGTGTCACCGTCGCTTCATTAGGAGCACTTGGAATCAAATTTGGCTGAATCATTTGGTTCATAAGGCAAGCCTACTTACAAAGCTGCTCGTGAATGTGCGTGAGGTAAAAGCCGAGCTTCTGGCCACTAATGTCTACGATGTGTCTGCAGTCACGCGACCTAGGCCACTGCACGAGGATATGTCAGCCATTAATCAGGCACTGATTATTATTCTTTATTCATTGCAATGTCGAACAATGTTAAAGCAAGTAGCGCGAATAGTCATCCTCCTCTCGCTTGGCAACAGAAAATGTCCTTGGCACTCTACCTCTTTCATCCATCGATTGCGTGCCGTCGATGGATTCTAATTGCTAACGTTGTCCTCGCACAGAAAACCATCAGCCATCGGCTCTCTCTTTTTCATCCTTTTCTTCAAGACAGCAGAAATGTCAGCGAGTTGCTTCATCACACGAAAGTCACGGCGACACTGTGATACAAAGTCTCACAACCCACAGCCTATCCTCCTCCAACGGCCAACCCAACGATAAAAAAGGCTACGGTAGGTTCCGAAACACGATCCTGCTCTCAAGACTAAGGAATATTTGCAACAAAGAGCGGACTTCAGCTCTTGCTCTTCTACCTTTTCAGAGAGATGGGCTTACCGGCCGTAGAATCTGTCTATCATACCGACAGTAGCCTGTGCAGTAGAGCCACACCGATGTTGAGCGCGATCGTTAAGATTGACAATATTGGCCGAAGTCACGGCGACAAGCAGCTCTAACGATTTAGCTGATCTGCAAGAACATGCATATTGCAATCCACAAATGAACACTAATAATGTACAAATATTAGGGCATGATGGAATTGCGCTACTTTAAAAAATATCTCCTAATTCTGCAAGACGTGTTGTAACGCCAGAATGGCCTCCACATTAAAGAAGAGGCTCCATTGCCTCTTTTGTGCTAGGTCAGCCTATCAATATACGATCCATCGGCTAAATGTGTCAAAAATAACAAATATCATAGAACGGCAACGTTTTTTGTACAAAATGACATTCTCCTACAGCAGCGCATACAATCCTCGTATGATGTATCTTGGCATAAACATCATCGTGTAAATTTTGTATAGTCGTTTGTCAAATTTATGTTTATTAGTACACATAAGCTCTTCATGCAGCTAGAAGTAAAAGCAGAGAATTGGTATAGGATCCGATACAACGCGAGTGGCCATTAGCTATCCAAACGTCACCTTCGTCAGGTCTGCACATTGACGATTATTTATAAAACATTACCGTAGCGTTCAAGTTGGCAATCCCACTCAGCACCTACTGTTTTGTTCAGCCCATATATTAGAAGACAACATCGATGACGTAGATATCGATGTAGATGGGAATGCAAATCCTTGCTCTCTATGATTACCGCCACTGTACTAAGAGCGAAATATTCTGGTTGAATACCAAACCCCTCGCTAATCCAAACAGAGCAGCGTGTCAATGCAATATCCTATCATCAGCGACGTATACAAAATAGCGTGACCTACAAATGTAGTACCCCACGCAGCTGTAACACGGCTGGGTTCTATTGCTGACGAAATATGCTCATGATTTACTTATATAGTAACTATTTCCATGCTTAGAGTGTTGGAAGTCGAAGCGTGGACGGCACGGCACATGTCGGTGAGAGCGGGATCGGAAAAGAGGGAGAGAGAGCGAAGGACTGCCCAGACGTTCCACGGATCGTAACGGTAGATTGTGAGTGTGTATAGTAAGGTTAAGCGAGAAAGGAGTGAGAGAAGGCACACCATCGTACAATGCAACAGTCTGCAATACAACACAAAATTCGCACTCGTCTCCTCATAAGTCACGGTCAAATCTCACCAAAAAAGCTGATCGAAATTCATTTATAGGAATATTTTCGTGCACCTATTTTTTTGAACTGTGGCAATCGATGATTAATGTGATATTTGTGTTTGGATCTATGATCAATATCCTAAGCAACTGTTGCTTTTAGTTGTATGTATATTAAAACGCACAAAGGTCAATTCATGCCTGAGATCTTTCGTCTTTGTAATGGTGCTGCACTAAAACTTAGCAGATATGATTGTCACTGAAGGTGTTGTTGTGTATATATAAATATGAAACATAACAAATATGAGGCATGTGTTGAACACATTGTGTCTGCACGAAGCAGATTTCAAGCAGCCTACACCTATTGCAGTGTAACTGAGGTATGCCTTGCGCATAAAATATACTCAACTTCCACCTATACATTGCCTTGCGGAACCGAAATTTCATCATACATAGAAAGAGTTACGACAAGGGTTTCCAAAGGTTCATCACAAAATATTTTCATTGAGAAATTCATTTTGAAGCAGGGTGACATACAAATATTGATGAACTAGCAATACAAAGAAAACCTTGTAAATCAGCTCCAAACGACTGATTCTACACATACCTGGGATGACATGTACACATATGTGTCAACTATGTTGTTAAGATTTACAAAACTGCCGTGTGCTAGACCGAAATGAGGCATTTACCAGTAGATATGAGTTATCCCTTCCGGCCTCTTTCTCCATATTTTTCACACTTTGATAAAATTAGGAGTCGTTGTCACGCCGGTACCTCTAATGATCGATTAAAGATCGATGGTGTGGTATCATTGCACCTTACGTCCTAGGAGATGAGAGCAACATTAAAGAATGTACAGTATGTTTATGCACTGAAATGCCCTATCTCGTGTTCAATATGAATGAGTGTAGCCGAGATAATGCGCAAATGTTCTCTAATCTTAAAGCAGAGTTTATTCGTCTTTGTGCTAAAGCTGGCACAAAATTAATCATGCAAAAACAAAGATTATTTATTGTGTAGAACTTGTCTATCGCGACACGCGGCGTTGACGTAGAAATTTTTGTCACAAAATGATGCAAGAAACGTTTCTTTACGCTTCATGCGCCATTCGGTATTGCGAAAGTTGTTGACAGCACTCTATATTTACCTACACATCGATTTTAACGTGTTCGTTGCAGGGTCGCCTTAATTCTTGACGCGTTTGATTGTTGCCATTACCGACGAAAGGCAAGTCGATCGATGGTAAAAAAGCTGTGCACCGAAATTTTGTTTAGCTGTTTGCATTATGAAACTACTTTTTATCTCCAAAAAGCTTTATTGTCTACCTGTTTTAAACTGGATTTAACAGTGACCGTAGACCGATCATGTCGACTGAGTTTATTACGGTATGAACGATGATATGTTGTCGAATTGATTCTCGATGCTCGATGATTTGAAATATGACGCATTGCTCTTCAAAACATATTCACTTGTCGCCCCGTTTACCAACGAATTGATTGCACTTCTAAACCTGATAAATAATTAAAAGATTTACACCATCTCAATGACGATCGTATACACGGATGTCCTACTTCTTATAGAGCTAACTCCGAAAGTGGTCTGACAATTTGACATAGTTTTAGCTGTAAAGGATGTCTCGACATCAAACAAGAATCAGTGCATGAGTGAGACGTAATCATCATTACACTTCATAAGTGGGTTGTCAATTTAACCGTCTTTCTAGCGGTAGCATCATCGTCTACACCAAAATCCGTTTCACTTGACCTGTTTGTTGTAGGAGGCATGGACGACACTAGTCCGTTATGATTTTTTTGCAATCCAACCGTGACACTCGTCGATCACATTTGTTGAAGAGATAGACGTGAGCAATGAATGCCCAAACTTGATGCAGCTCGCATCAGCTTGATTATCACCGTTAGGTGAATGTTTGCTCAATAAATTACTGGTGAGTGGGTGGGCATGAAAATTTCGCATTTTCTATTGTGGATGGAATGCGCCTCTGATGTCTGTTTAAGCACATGTTTCGTCGACGGCTCAATCCGTATATATATCTCACTGGAATTGTCGCATTTGTAATGATCCGATTAAGGGCAACAAAACTATAATGACTGAGTACAATTGATGGGTGCACTTTTGCTGCAATATTGCTATTCCAAAGGATGCATATTATAAAACTGAGAGCCAGGATCAAGCCTGTCGATTGGTGAAAAGCCGTCGGCTACATGCCATTATCGCAAAGATGTCCGAGGGAGCGCTGATCACAGGACTTGTGTTTGATTGAACTAGGTAATACATATAAACAATCGTCTGATATGATAGTTAGTTATAAATAATTATGTTGCTTTATGCATCCGTACCTAACAGGACGTGTGAACGCGTATACGTGTGAACGCGTATACATATACAGCCGAAATTTTGTCATCGCCCGATATCTGAACCTTTACAAATGAGTGCGGCAAAGGTCGGTATCAATCGAGTTTATTTTTGGTCTTGAAATTTGTAGGAGGAGATGTGTCATGTATTTTTCTGCGAGCACTGCAATATCAAGCCGTATATATTTAGGGAAGAGTCTACAACGACTCATGGGCGGAAGATATCAAAGTATACGATTCCAACCTTTCATAGATTCACATTTATTAATCAAATTCTTACGAGATACAATCGATCGTATATTAAAGTCATACAATATAAGTAAACATACATCATAAACGTTCGATAGCCGTATCATCATAGTTCTCCTCATGAGATATGTAGGTATGAAATGTGGGCAGAGTTGTACAGCAATAAAGTAGAGTAAATTTGGCATACTAGAGGGAAGATTCAGCGCTATCAAGTTTGACCATTTTGTCAGATACACTTTGAATGCTACATGTAACGGAGATAATGGATTGTCATACCCATGCACATAAAAAGAATTGAAGATCCTATTTTATTTCAGTTGCACCATGAATCTATTGATTCAATGATGGCATATAATCTGGATGATGGATCTTCGAATTTACAACTATTCGAAGACAACTTACAACTATTTGTTTGATTGTTTATTACGTTGTAATGCATTTAAATTCCATTCAGCTGGATAAGTTTTCTCAACCGGTAGCATTGTATCTAGAGCTGGAAAAAGGAGCTGCGATACTACAACGGTCCCGATCGTTGTCAACAATTCTGTTCGGATCGACGAAAATTATCATGCGCAAAGAGCTATCAATCGATAAATTATTGGCCGAGCAAATATGCTAGCCCTAAAGCAAGACGCGCTTTATCCAGTCGGGGAAATGCAGATTGCTTCATGCCAGTCAAGTTTAGCGGTGTATATGCAGAGGAACGCTGCACCAAAATGCTAACAGAGAACTCATTACCAATTCTCAAACGCACTCAATCGTAAAAAAAAGTACAATTAATTGTTGCAAATGTTCGATGACGCCGTTAATCATTAAATTCTATAGTGTCAAATGTAAACATCTGGACGAGTGCCATGACGCAATGGGTTGCAAAGTTTCGTTTGCGTCGACGGGGCCCGACGCTCAGCATCGACAAAATGTAATTTGCGTTTGGTCAGCCACTTGTGTCACGCACTGCTGGCGCCTATCCTTCACTTGTACTGATCAATTTGTGCAACTGCTGCTCCGCAAAGACGAACAGATCAGCTACCGATGAATGTCACGAGTCGAACTAATGTTGTAAGACTGCGTTCCTACTAGCGACGATAAAAAACGGCTGTTGCAAGCCATGCAACGGACCGAATGATTCGGCTGGTTGTGCTGAGCTCTTGGACCATGTCGATGTTTACTTCGAAGCTCATGAATGCACGGATTAGTCCGCTCATAGAATCGATGGTAATGTCTGTGTGGCCGAACCAGCACAGGCCTATTAGTGATGGAACAGGTGGAGAGAAACTCTGATCTTGGCAAGCGCTGTGCATCATAAGCGCGACGTTACAAAGCCACATATGACTTCGTTGGTTTCGATCATTCAGACTGCGTTGACGGTGCCTCAACTGCCGAGGGTCCGAAACTACGTTGACCATTTCGGCACGCGGATGCCATTTACCACGCTACTCCTGTCGACGCATTTTGCTTCCCACAATTCGCGACGCAAATTTGATCGATCAAAAAGTGCTGGAAACGGTGCTGCTCATGATCACGTATATCGTCGGGTGAAAGCTGGATGACAAAAAAGTGGACAGTGTCGGTGGGGACTTCCTGGAAACGGTGCTGCTGTTGCTACATGCGTTGCACGCTACTCGCGTGCTTTTGACCCAGCACTGGCCGTCCGACACTCCTCCATGTTGCGCTCACCGAACCCACCAGAGCAGCGGTGATGTCAGTACACCGAGCGTTTGGTTTGTGGCATATTGCTGCTAGTTATTCGAGCACGAGCAAGGAGTGCAGGTGCATTATTTGAAAGAGTGTTTTCTCCACCACATCGTGACAAAAGAACGGCTAATCGCGGGGTAAAGGCGCAAGTTGTTCGAACCGATCGATCGCATTCTGTCAATTTTGGTAGCAATGCGATACGAATGGCTGCTTTGGATTACCTCCCGGCCATTTATAGACGCGTCCTCCGGCGTATCACCTGCATATGACTAAGCTCAACGTTCTCGACAAAGGAGATGAACGTGTAAATTAGCTGTACTTGGCTCCTTGGCAGCGCCTTCTGGCCACTATCCGTGGTGAACAATTCTTTCACATCGCCTTGATGCTCTACTGCATCATTAGGCGTATGTTGCTATCCGGGTCAAGCATGGCGTAGTAGTTGGCTACGTAATAGCGAACGTCAATCAGCGCGTGGTATGGCACACCATTCAGCAGCACTTGCGTCTTTTTGGTGATGCGACACTTGCAAACTACCATATTCGCATAACAACTCAAGCAAGTGGAGTCCTGGCAAGACTGTGGAGACTCTGACGACTGGATGCCTCCACTTCGCACAAGTCGTGACTAAAGGTACCACAAGTTGCGCTAAGGACAATGGACGGTACGCGTGCTCTGGACCTGCTGGCAAATCTGTCAAAGGCTTCACTGGATGTGCCCGAGTAGAAAGACTACAAGTATAGACTGCATAGGTTCAACTACCGTAGTAACTAAAGTGTACGACACAGAACATTCGCAAGCATTGCATGCTCGGATGGCTTCGTCCGAGAGCAAGCGTGCTGAGCAAACACAGGTGAAGAGCAGCAAGCTGCTGTGAAGGAGCGGAAGCTTTCATTTGATCCGCAGCGGTTACGACGAACGCTAGCTTGAGCCTTCACCTGAGGCTTTTGTAGCTACTGGTACAGCTTGATCAATTCATCCGACACTGCTGACGGCGTAAGGACACCCAAATCTGTAAACATCAGCGCAATGTACCCCGGTGGCGTGTAGTCAAAGAATGGGCTCATAAACGATACGTCATTCATCATCTTGGCAGTGGATCCACTACCAGCACTATCGCCAGAGATAGCATCCATGTGCTTCTGCGGGACTTCACGCTGGGTCAATGGGTAGAGACGAGCAAACTTGTAGCTCTCTGCCGCCACGTAAAATTGCTTATTCAGCGCCTGCGCGATCACCGCAGTCGAGTACGTACCAATCTGCAACAGATCATCGACACTTCAACACACGAGTTTTCCACCAGGCAAAACAAAACAAAAGTCCGTACCGAGTTGACGATACCCCCGTTTTCAACAACGCCTTCAGCCCCAACAATTACGATATCGACTTGTTCCATGTAATACGCGACGGCGGAATCAAGGATTACCGTTGTGGGGATACCCACCTGCACAAGTTCCTCTGCCGTGCCCACTCTAGCCCATGCACCGACACATTAGCACGACCGACCATCTACATTGGAACGAGCCGTCGTCTCACTCTACGCGTCCACGTACCCTGATGCAGTACTTCTTCCTTCCGTGACAAACACTGAAAAGTTCTTGGTCTTGGCAGCTTCACACAGGAGTGCAATGACCACACGGGACTTGCCATGCGTCAACACTTTCTGCGAATCAACAAGCACCACGAATCATCCACCGAAACAACACGTTAGTCCACGGCAGGAAAGACAAGCACGTGTACTCGTTTTCGTTCAAGCGACAAACGCAGACCGACCATGCCATCGCGAATAAAGTTGTGGCCCACGTCACTAATGCGCTGGCGACTCGAGAGCGACGTCTTGGCAAACAACTTGCCGCGGTCAATGAGCTGAGAGCGGCAATGGTCAAAGTCGTCGAACTCCAAGAAACAGCGCGTCACGTAACGCAGAAACAATTGACAGCCAGCGGTCGTAGCGATCGAATTGTGGAAACGGGGGGCGTCGTCGGCGGCCTGGAACGTGCGCAGCTGCTGCGCGGCTTCCTGCAGCTCCCCCTCCATTTGCATCATCGTGCTCGCTTCGCTGTGCAGAATGACGTTCGTCAGCGCTTTGATCACAGCGACGGCCACTGCCACGTCGGGGTCGTCCAGGAAGTGGAGGAAGTCGGTGATCACTGGAGTCATTTTCGGTTTGATTGGGTTCGCGCGAACCGAAATGGTTGGGCAGAGGTCGTGAAGAGCGCCGTGATTGGCTGCTGCTGCTGCCACCGTTGTGTGTTGTATTTCACGGACTAAATGAGACGGATTTTGGTTTACCCCATGGACACGCAAGTGCATAGATAGTAGACCTGAGTCGATGAAGACAAGGGAGATAAGCCACGGAACACTCTCGTCATGGAAACGGGTCGTCAACCTTACCAAACGTCATGCAATACTATGATGAGAATCGGTGCAGGATACTTCCGCATCTCCTTTTGTCCTCCATCTGCCATCGCATGTTGACAAGGCGTTGGTTTCGCACAGGCGACAGATCCACGTCTTGAACACTTTCCGAAACAGATTCTTCCGGGGGAGTTGCTGATTGACCACGCGAACATGTTGAATGTCCCACGAGCAAACGCCTGAAGGTTGCTACGAACTAAGGTGCGTGTGGCAGGAAAAGCTTCGACATTATAGTGACCGGCCGTGGTTGTCCACAAAGCGAATCGAAAAAGGAGGAACTCGTCGTCTCAAGCAGAATGGCAAAAAGTTGTGTCAAGCGCGGATAGACCACGTCCGTCCCGAAGTGCTGTGTCGTACTCGTCAACAAATGATGGCCGCCGAGGTGTACGAAAAACAGAAACGAACCGACTGCCATTCCAAACTTTGCAGCTCAATGCTAATGCCGCACTCATGGCACGAGCACAAAGGTGATGTCAGAAGAGTTTTTGACACGTGGTCTTGCTGACTACTGTACGCATCGACCATATACCAAGCGTTTGGCTAACCGCGAACACTTTGGTCTTTTTCTCCACCTGTGTTCTGCACGACACGCAAAAAGCAGAACGGTACAACGATTTTATGCCAGAAATGGCTCCCAGTGCGATGCAGTCGTCCTGACCCGCGCAAAACCTTTCATTGTCCAGCACGTCGCGAGCGCTTGTTTCACTGTTTCCGACGAACAAAGCACTTTATTCGCGTTAAGTTCGCAGTCATGGTTCCAGATGTTTCGACAAGCGGCTTTCATGACGAACCCCGCCATCTCCTCTCCGATTGGCCAAAACCCAGTCCCCGACCTCCACCACCCACCATTCATCCTCATCTCGATCGATCGATCGACCGCCATGGCCGAGACCGAGACGCCGGTGCTTTGGTGCGTGGACGAGCTCAACGTGGCCACGCGTCGCGGCCGCATCGTGCGCAAAGTACGGGAGCGCTATCTCCGCGACGATCTGAGCTGCTCGCTGCCGAGCTGCTCGTTGTGCAGCACCGATGACGACGTGACAGCGGCCACGCACGTGCTGGGCACCATGAAGACGGTGCTGGGCGACCGTCCACGAGACGGGTCGTATCTATTGCCATCGATGAAGACGGTGTTGCTTCAGATGGACGTGTTGGAGTTTTCGTGCAAGAAAAGGACGCACGCGGACACGCGCGAAGTCTTTGCCGATGTTTTGATATTAGAGACCGTGTGGGAGTTTGTCAAGCGACAGGATCTGGGCGTCTACAATCGTCTTCGCGCGCTGCTGCTGAACGCTGATCGGCGGTTTGTCGTGTTTGCTAACGAGCACCATCAGTCGTGTTTTGTCCAGAAGCAACAGATGCTGCCTCAAGGGTACAGGGAAGACGAAGAGATAATGGGCACGTTCGAGACGGAAGACAAGCGAAATGAACGCGCTGTAGCTACTGCTTGGACGTGGTATGCCAAGCATCTGAAGGAGCTCGAGCGGAGCCACAAGGTTCGAGTTCAGTTTTTGGCCAATGACGCCGAGGACTTGAAAAGTGCTGAACACTACGGCGTCACGGGAGGAATGACGATAGCAGAGTTTCTGAAGCCTGTAGCCAGCGAATTTCCCGAACTAGTTGATTTGCTCTCGGCTTCAGTAGCGGCAGCAGAAGACAAACAGCTGACAGCTGAAGGAGTGAGCAGCACAAGAGGACGGGAGTGCAAGAAGAGATTGTATCCCGAGCATATACCAACGGCCGACGTGCTTGCCGGGATCACAAATAAGAGATTTTTCAAGGGCACAATTCGATGCAATCGCGACTTTTGGCTGGAGTGTCATGTGCTGATTTGTGGAGAGAATGGGGTGAAGATGCCAGTGTTGGTGCAAGGTCGGGAACATATCAACCGAGCGATTGATGGAGATGTAGTTGCCATAGAGCTGTTGCCGAAAGAGCAGTGGAAAGCTGCTTCGAATTCTTTTGCGGAGAATAACACAGTTGACGCGGCAGATGACGAAGATGTCGATGATGACAAAGGAGACGAGCAACCTCCAGTTATTGGTGTTGCTGAACCTACTATTTCGCCAGAACAGCTGCCACTAGTGCAGAACGACGCTGCACATAATGTGAAGCCTACCGGACGCGTTGTGAGCATCATTCAACGCAACTGGCGCAAGTATTGCGGATCGCTGGAGCCGCCACGGGATGGGACGACATTGAGTGTATCTGGAAGCTGCCTGGTAGTGCCAGTGGATCGGAAAGTACCAAAAATTATGATTCGCACACGGCAGCAAGAAGCGCTCATGGACAAACGGCTTCTAGTAGCAATAGACTCGTGGCCCTCGGATAGCAAATTTCCTTTGGGTCACTATGTGCGCACGTTAGGTGTCATTGGTGACAAGGAGACCGAAACGAACGTGCTGCTTATTGAGCATGACATCCCGTGCGACCAGTTTAGTGACGAGGTAATGCGCTGCCTCCCGCCGGAAGACTGGAAAATTACACCCGATAACTCTAGTGGACGTCGTGACTTACGTGACCTGCCAGTCATGAGTATTGACCCACCCAACTGCAAGGATATCGACGATGCTTTGCACGCAAAATGTCTGCCAAACGGGAACATACAAGTAGGAGTGCACATTGCTGATGTGACGCATTTTGTGGCGCCGGGTAGCCCCCCTTGATGAAGAGGCTGCTGACCGTGGAACATCGACGTATCTTGTTGACCGTCGTCTCGACATGCTTCCTGGACTGCTGACGACCAAGCTTTGCTCGCTCACATGTACGGAAGATCACTTTGCCTTCAGCATCCTGTGGGAGATGAAGCTTGTGGGTAGTAAGGAAGTGCAGATCATCGACGTGTCGTTTTGCAAAAGCCTTATACGCTCGGTAGCTTCACTGTCGTACCAACAGGCGCAAGAGTTATTGGACGATCCCGGCGCTGGTCGTGTGTTTGGGCAGGGCGGAAACTTGACGACGAAGAAAAGTGTCGGAAGTGAGAAAGAGTCCGAGCGTCGACAGGTGCTGGGAAGTGGCATCAAGACACTGAATGCAATTGCAGCACGCTTGCGCGCTAAGCGAATCGAGGCCGGAGCTTTGACGTTGGCCTCGCCTGAAGTGCGCTTTGTACTTGATACGGATACGCAAAATCCGCTAGACGTGCAAATGTACACCCTTCGTGATACGAATGCTCTTGTGGAAGAGTTCATGCTTCTAGCCAACATTACTGTGGCCAAGAAGATTGTGCGTCATTTTCCGACCTCCTCAATGCTACGGCGGCATCCTGCACCTTCTAAACGCCAGTTTGATCTACTGTGCAGCCAGGCGAAAGCTATTGGTGTTGAGCTGCACGTGGATACGTCCAAGCAGCTCCAAGATTCGTTGGACACCGCTGACTTGCTTGTCGAGAATGGAGAAGGTGGTACGCATGGCAAGCGAAAGCATCGCAATAAGTCCAATCCATACTTTAACAAGTTGTTGCGCATAATGACCACGCGCTGTATGATGCCGGCTAGCTATTTCAGCTCAGGTGAAGTGGCGCCTCCAGAGTACCACCACTACGGTTTGGCAGCTCCAATTTATACGCACTTCACTTCACCTATTCGACGATACGCTGATGTAGTTGTCCACCGCTTGTTGGCTGCTGCCATCGGTGTTGCACCGCTGCCAAGCTACCTCGAAAATAAGTCTCACCTGCATGAGATCAGTGACCAGCTCAACCGGCGCCACCACGCAGCTCAGCTCGCTGGTAGAGCCTCGGTGACTCTACACACGGTGTTGTATTTCCAGCAGTATCCGACACGTACCGATGCCGTCATCACGAAGGTCAAGAGCAATGGCGTGGGGGTGATGTTGCCCAGTTTCGGTATCGAGGGGCATGATTTTCTTGTGTGGCAAAGATGATGCAAGATGACGAGGACGTCGTGCGCTATGATGCAAGCCGCCACTCGCTTACGTTGGTGCAGGAGAACAGCCGCACGCTGCAGGTCTTCGACCGCGTGCGCGTCAAGAAGTGTACGTTGCTCTGGGCTTTGGCAATCGCCAGGAAGTCAAAATGGACTTGTTGGACGAAGATGATGGATTGGACGACGAAGCAGAGGGCAAGTCCCAAGAGGAAGCAAAAGCTGCAGTTTTCAAGAAGCGTAAGGCAGCCGCGTAACTCACGTAGTCGACGTGAACTCTTATTAGCTGGCCTCTGTGGCATGTCTTGCTTGACTGTGTCTCGACCAAGTGGTCGAACGCTCTTTCGCACGTTCGGTTGCGACATATCCTTCAGGTCTTTGTTGCGTAGGGTTGTAAGTCATGGTCCCTTCACCGCGTCGCACTATTCTGAAGATTGACATGTATCGC